CTCCTTTTTCCTCTTCTCCTTTTCAATTTTTGCTTCTCAGTTTTCATTTTTCACTCTTTCTTTTTTACTTTTTTCTCTTTTTTCTCTTTTCCCTCTCTTTTTCCTTTTTCTCCCTTTCCTTGTCTCCTCTTCCTTTCCCTTCCCTTTCTTGTCTCAAAGAGCATGAACATAGATTATATAAAATTTTTGAATTATCCTTCTCAAAACAAATGTAAAATAAATCTATACAATAACGGAGATGTTATATACAGAGTTGTGTCACACACAGCCGCTTCACAACCTGGAGCATTGCCACTATTGTTTTGGGATTAGGATTTATGTTCAATATTGAAGGAATCCTGAGGCTGTAATTTGAAATACAATTCCAGGAAAGCTGTGGAGTCCATATACCCCTGGCTCATCTCTAGTCATGTGGGGTCAAATTCACTCTGGGTGAATTCCCTCTTTCAAAAGCAGTGGAGTTAGAGCAGGAATAATTTTGAATGGGTCTATTAATGAATATCATGATGAGGCTGATTAAGAATATGAAACCTTTTGTAAATTTGATCCAGCAAATACAGTTATATTGCTGAATCAACCCCAAAACAGACACTGGGAGACTAAGGACACAACAATCTCCTTCTACCTTTTCACTTGTGCTCTATTCCTTCACTGCTCTGTCCTTCTTTATATGCTATTTTATTCTTGGAAAGAATAAAAAATGTGGAAAAAAAACCCACATACATGCACACATGCTTGTCTAACAGTTTTAGATTTTTCTTCTCCACCTGTACTGCTTCATCTAGCATTTCCAACCTACTATGAATGGGTTCTTCTTTCCCTTTCTTCCCTTCACATGGATATTCCCATTTCACGTATTCCCTGCCTCTTCCCTTCTGATCTCCCTCTGATACTGTGTACTTTGTCTGTCTCTCTTCCCTTTTCTCAGAGCTGTTCCTTATCCAGGCTTTCCACTTCAGCCGGACAGGTCAGATCTCTTTCGAACTCTGCCCACCTTCCCTGCTGCAGTCTCCACTTCCGACCYGAAATGTCTTCCCCCTTAGAGGGGAAGCTCATGGCCCACCATAGCAGGCGCCATCCCTAGGAACAGCTGCACGCAGGGGCCAAGGCTGGAGGCGGAGGGTCAATGACCTCTTCCAGCTGCCCTGTTCCCTCCAGTCTTCACCKTAGTTATTGTTACTGGCAAGACCTCATCAATGGGACAGGCAGGGACCCTGCTGCCTCATTCCCGGGAATGGGAAAGGAGAGTGAGAGTCTTGATCAGAAACCCCAGGCTGTCATGGCAAACCCATCCAGGCCCATCCAGGCTCTGTTTGCTTGCCAGGAGACAGGAGCTGATGCCTCCTAGGAGCGGGTTTAGTTCCCATGCAGCTGCAGCCTCATCCTCCCATGGCATTCTCAGCTGCTTCCTTCATGACTGCCCTCCCTGCCTCCAGCATCAAYGGTGGCCAGGGACTCTTCCCAATCTGAGCGGAAGCCCTCATGTCCACCCACTGGTGCTGTCCTCCAGGATGGAGACCATCTTCCTGGCTTCGCAGGCTGCCACACCRGCACAGAAGGGAACACTGGCAGAAGGGGATGGTGGCAAAAGGGAATGTGGGCAGGGGTGTCTCCATTCCCTGCAATCCCCACAACCAGGCATACAGATTGTGTTAACCTCAGTCCCACCTGTTCTTCCAGTCCTGGCCTTCTCCCAGCCTCATCCGTGCTCCGGGGACCACTTTGTCAAGTACACCTTCACCTCTGCTCCTTGTGTTCATAGACTCATTCTCATTGAAGGCCTTGCAATTGCTGTGACTTCTCCTAGCTCGAGCAAAGCTGGAATGGGCTTGTTGTCACACGCCAAGTACTGCCACGGAAGAGCCAGGGAACTGCCATCTTGTGCTTTGTGCTCGTTTTGCCCTGGAGCAGCCCTGCTGCTTGTCTAGTCTTCTCTGCTCTCTGCAGTGCTCATTAGAGTTGGGTTTGCCTGGGCATTGCAGTGATATAAATAAAATATTATGCCACAGCTAAATTTCCCTTATAAATCCATGATTTATGGATGGGCTACTTTACCCAGAGTACTGAAGCTCAGGGAGGAAATCAGACTGAGGGAAATGTAAAGCAGGAAATTTCTCTCCAAGGAGAGGAACACATTCACTTTCTGTGAAAATTAATCTTATCAATTAAAAATTAACCAGGTGTTCAGGTATGGTTTCCTGTGACCTGTTAGTCTTTAGCCTTTTGCTTGTAGTCTGTTCTATATTGCATAGAGGAATATAAATACTGAGGATACATCATTGTGTTTGGAGGGTGATCATTTGGATGTGTTTCTGTAAAAGCACTGAGGTGTTCCTGCACCTGAAACCACCTCTATGGGTGTTCAGACAAACTGAAAATCAGGCATTTATGTGCATATTTAAAGAAGCTTTATTTATTTATTTTTTATTTTGACCTGTATTGGAAAGCTATAATTTAAGCTGTTTTTGCTTCTAAGCCTTCTAAACTTTTTTCAATCTTTTCTTCTAAAATTTGATTATAGAATCAATTTATTTAAAAAGCAGTGAAAATGGTAGGAAGAGTGTTTGAAAGGAATCAAAGGTACTCAAATTCTAATATGTCTATGTTTGAACCAAGTTTATTGGGTTGGACATAGTTTCTTTCTTTTCATGCTTCAAAAACAAAATTAAGCCTTTTTAAATTTCATTGTAATAGAAAAGCCTGGAAACATCTCAAGCATAACCATCAACTATTAGGGGAAAAAAAAAGAGAAAAAAGGAAAACTTGCTGGCTCTTCAAATGTGCTCATTTTCCAGCTGCTATAGCAATGCACATTCCCTATGAATCAAATTGTTTAGACACCTAAATAAGATGTTTAGTACTAGCAAAGGAGCCAAAGTGATATAGAATACAAGATTATTATCTTTTAATTGATGCCTATGACCCCATACAAACTCTTGAAAATATTTTCCTAGAAATGTAGATGCAGGCACCTGTCTTTAAGATACCTGAGTGCAATTAAGAGAGGCTGCTGACTCCCAGGCCTTGCCTTTGCCAGCTCAGCCCAGGACCAGGAGCAGAGACCTGGGTAAGCTGGCATTCTGGCTTGCTCATTAGCTGGGCTCTTCTTGATCCCTGGCCTCTGCTATTTGGATTATTTGCTTTCCCGCTCTTAATCTCTGTGGGGAAACTTTTCCTCACTATTTAAATAYTAAATCCTCACCCTCCTGGAATGTCGCAGTATGCTGCCTACAAACAGAGATGCAAGGGCTTTCCAGTGCAAACCAATTCTGAGTTCAACCAAGAAGGCCCCTGTTCATCTGCTCTGAGGCTACACACCCCTCTTCTGCAAGGAATTTTACATCTATATAGATACATCTGTTGCTCAAACAGAGCAACAAAGATCCAGTGACACTGAGACACACCAGGATCTTTAGGTATGTGGGTTGCAGCTTCCCCCTTCTGGCAGCATTAACAGGACAGGCAGCAATAAAGGACAGCAGCTTTCTGCAATTTTGATGTTTATATAAACAGGCTGCAGATCTAAGTAACCCATCTAATGTGTCTGACTTTTCATCCAGAGCTGTTACAAGGCCTAGCTGTAGCTGAAGGGTGGTATTTATTGTTCCAAGTATTGTTCCTTTCTTCCACGCATTATTTTGAGAAAAATCAATCTTCCTCCAAGCTTCCTTTGTAAAATTTCAGCTATGCTACTTGCTTCACGCGCAGCTCACGTAGCTGACATGGACAGCAGCAGGTAGTTCTCAGCCTCTGATAAACTGATGGCCTCATTTTACTGATGGGCACAGAAGATATGTTTTTTTTTTTCTTTTTCCATTTTTGTCTTCTTTTAACAAGTAGGTTTGTCCCCTAAGCACTCCTAAAGCACTTAAAAATCCATAGATTTCATAAACCACATGTATTGTTGTAYTGATTTTTGTTGCCGGTTGGATTTGTTGACTGGTCTCATACATTGTATACACCTTTCTTGGCATTTTGCAATGTTATTTATTTTTTCCTGAAACAGCAGAAGAGCAAAAGGGAGGGAGTCAAGAAGTTAATATCTAAAAAGCAGTAACTAACTTTTTGCAAATCTAGTTATTATGCTAGTTAACTAACAAAAGGTCTTTAATCTGTTGCTGGACATAAACGCAGAAAGGTTTATCACCAAACACATCAGATCTGTTGCTGTGCTTACAGCCATGTTGCAGATGAAGTTCAAATCGAGGGACCAGTGTACCATGTGGCAAACCAAGACTGCCAAGACCATTTTGCCCAGGGAAGCAATCAACTACAAAGACCTTTGTAGATTCTGCAGAATGCCACTCAGACATGCTCTTACACTACATATGCCCTAGCAAAATAATTAATATTTGCCTCCAACTAGGTATCTTAAACATAGAAATAGGAGTGTGAATGTCCAGACCTCTTGTCCCAACCTCTCCCRATGCATCTCCCCACTAATTAAGAGTAGTTAGAAAGTGGGATACTCTCTAAAGTAAATGCAATCAGGAAAACCAAGAAGGAGTTCTGTTGGTGAGCTGGCTGGGTGCTTATGGCTTTATGTTTCTAGAATAAATACTAAAGCTGGCATTGAGGTATGGATGTTTCCAGAGTGCTTCAGTGTTCATTATCACCAGTGAAGCACTCTGGAAACATCCATATCTCAATGCACTCATCTACCGTGCCAATAGCTTTTACTTTCCTTCTGAAGCATCTTTCTAGTTTCCTGACAATTTCAGCTTGGGATTGTCTACCAGAGGTGCTGAGGAAGAACTAAGGAAGTATTGATAGACATTATTGAGAAAACCTGGAGAAGTCCAACAAATTTGAACAAACTCAGCAACAACTGCAGGAGCAGCTGCCAGGAGAAATACAGTATTGGGAGCATGGTCACTTTTAGGCGATCCAATGTAACTAATGAATAGGGACAATAGTCAGTGAGTAGTAATTTGCAAAACAACACCAATACAAGCACTAAAATAGGAAATATTTTTATTATTTTACARTATTTTACAATAAAGTACATAATGAAGTAGAATTATCATAAAATTGTTTGCCAGTCACTGATACTCATTATTTGACTTACTGCTTTCATCTTTATTTTGCTGACTATTTTAAAATGTCAAATAAAATATACTTTACATAAAAGTCCTTAAGGCTGCATTCTCYTGGAGCAGCTTTTTTATGACAATATCAATATCTCYTCTGCAATTGCGATCGATTGATAGCAGATCCACCCTGATTCTGCTGCGAGTGTTCTGCAGTGTTCACCAAAGGGGTGGACGTATTCTATAATAAAAYAGAGAATGATAATATATATACACACACATATATATTTATGATTATATATAACATATAATTCCAAAAGCATCATTTGATGATACCATGTGATCTRTTTTCCATTATACGAACTATTGTTCACCCTAGMTGGATTTAAAGGTTGGTATTACAGAGTACTATGTCATTAATCTGAAATACTGAGTGAAAATGGGAGAATTAAAGCAGGAAATCACATTGAAAGACATAAACATTAAAAAAAAGGCTTCTCATAGCACCAAATTTGACAAAATCTCTGTCATCTATACATTTTCTGAAGCTAGGACCTTGTTTGACAGATGTTCACTCTTAGCATGCAGAGCAATTCCAGGCCCACGGCGAGATCTGAATCTATGGCTATAGCTGGACAATTGTTTAAATACTTGAGTGTATACTTTTACAAAAGAAAGGTTTTAAATGTCTGTCAGAGCACTGATAGCACCAGAACAGCCAAGAAGAATTCAGGGAAATGTCATGGGTGGTGGGTGCAGCTACAAATCTATAAAGCCTTTTTTTTTTTTTAAAGTATAATAGGTCATGAAGAAAATCACAGAGAAATACATAACATATTTAGACCCAATAAAGGCACTTATGCCACAGTAATTGCTGCAAATTACAAGACYGAAGGGTTATTTCACTATAAAGAATCAAATTTTCAAGACAGGAGATAGATGAGAGCCAGCTGAGGTCCCAAGTCACACACAGCGCTGCAGCTCACAAGAACTGAGTTAATGGACACTCTCTTTTCACACTCTCACTTCAAAATCAGACAATCCTTTGGAATGTAGGAGCTTGGTAACGTGCTGGGCTTTTTCCTTCTCACATTCAGGAAGTGGCAGAAACCTTCTGAATAATGGGCATATTCTCTAACATTTCAGGTAAAAAACTAACCAATAAAGAATTGTATGAAGTATATGATAACTTATCTCTATTTTTTTCCTAGGAGGCTGTGTGTGTGTAATAGTAATGCAAGAGACTGATAATAATTTTAAACACTAACTTCAGAATTATAATMTGATAATTTTAAGTGTAATATTCGTGTGTTTTTTCTTTTTCTTTTTTTTGGGGTGGGTCTGGAGGGTTAAGGGAGATTCCGATCTTTTCCATCTTCTATACTCCAGGTATCCTGAAACTTTTGTTTCAAAGTGATAGAATCCACAATATATGAAACATAAAATACAGTTAAAGAAGAAATGGAAAACCTATTACTTACAGAACGTAACATATCTGCAAGTCAAAATGCGAACGTATTGTACTGCCAATAACTTTACACACTACCATGCATTATCCCCCTCCTTCCTTTCTTTAGGAAGAAAACAGTTATGGGCTCTGTGCAGTTCAAATGACCCTGCCGAATTACAGCTCTGAGAAGGTCCTTAGAATTTACTGGGCTCCTCAGGTGTCTTCAGATTTCAAGGGGAACTGAAGCCAAACACYGAGAGGGTTTGTTACAAATAATCAAAACTTGATCACAGGGCTATAAAGTTTATTAGTGGATTTTTTTTTAACATAAATGGAAATCAGAACATATGGAGAGGCATTTAAGCAGACTAATGTCAATATTTCCAATTATATTTTTCCTRTAAAATAACCCATAAGGTCAGCTAACAGAAACTAAAGCTGAGCCAATTCTTACCAAAGGAGTGATTAGCTGTAAAACACTTGAATTAGATATGTTTCTGGTAATGGCTTCTTGTACATCTAAAAATAACAAAGAATAATATTATTATTATAAATTATACATTTTCTATTATTTAACACAAATACTAGAAAAGAAGTATGATTTTCAGTCAAATAATCACCAGAGCAAGAAGGCTGAACACTGCGGAAATGTAGCTTAATAGCAGTGTTGTTCCTTTGCCATTTTTACCTTTGCCTCTCTTTTCATTGTCCTTTCTCTGTTATTTAAGCAGCAAACAAGAGTGAGATCTGTTATTGCAGAGAATTTCTAAGTGGCCACAAAGTTCTTTTATCCTAATGATTTAGTTAGAGGAAAGTGAACTCTTTTCCCCCAAAGTCAAGCAATCCATCACTTGATGTAGAAACATACAGAAGTGTGCAGGAGCTTAATGGCATAAACCAAGCCTTGGTCTGGTTTAATTCCAACGAATAGGAGTTATTTGAAAGTGTGAAGTGGAAGAGAACTTGGGTAAACTGACCATGGAATGACATAGTTGACAATATTGCGGGACAGAAGTGGCATAGCAAAATAAAGCCAACGGACTTCCAGAAAACAGACTCTAATAAATGAAAATAATCAGCATGTAAGATTTCATAGGAAATAAATTGAAGGAAAAAAGGGAAAGAGCAGGCATCTTGGCATTTCTGTAAGGAGTACACATGCCAAACAAGTTATATCAGTGATATGGAAAGCCAGGAAGTGCAATAGAAAAAAGCCCACAAGTGCTCACTCACAAGCTCCTCATTGATTTCACATATAAGATGGAGCACTAATTATGTCAAATTATGTTGAACTACTGACAATTTGTATGAATTACCTGTGTGACCATATAGGTCAAAGCAAAGACTAAACACTAGATACAGCAGCAAAGGATTCCAAAAGTCATTCCTCACTCAGGTTCGCTGAAAGAAGACAATCGAGGACAATGTTGGCTCACTACTCACTGGAGAGGAGAATTACAAAGAGAGGAACAAGCACAGGCTTTTTCTCAATGTTCTTCACTAAAGCGTTAGGTGTGATCAGAATGCTCATATAATTATCAGCAGCATAAAGCAGGTGAGAAATCATAGAATCACAGAATGGTTTGGGTTAGAAGGGATGGATGGAGTTCATTAATCTGGCATGTAGAGAAAATAGGTTAGAGAGCACTCAAGTGAGACATTTTAAAAATACTTGGGCAAATGATATTCACAGAAATATTCAGAGTTGGCTACAGCAGGCTCACAACTGTACTCATCACCCTTAAGAATTTGTCCATAAGAGATATATTCTAAAAGATTAGGAAAAAAAAATAAAAAGCCACTCTATAAATTAAAAAAAAAAAGCTGAAAAACCCAACAGCCACTTCTACTGAATGTGCAAAAAGAAAGTACTGAAACATATAATCAGACACTTCAAAAGTATCTAGATTGTAAGAAGACAAATAACAGGCAAGAAATGGATTTGCCAAGAAAAAAACTTTATGAAATTATTCTCTTTTCTTCTAGGACAGGTTAAAAAGTTTTGGCAAGCCTTTTGCCACTTGCATTCTGTGAGAAATCTAGAGAGGCTTAATGTAGAGCCAGGGCAAGCAATCTTTTCCCTTGGACAGTGGAATGAGCTTTTGAACACTTCCGCTACCCACTCACTAACATGTAGGATATGATATTCACAAACAGTTTGAAAACACACRTGATYYACAGTCATGGGCTACATGGGAAGAAATCACCATCCATATCCTCCTCGATCTTGGGTTTTTCAAAGCTGACCTAAAGGAGACTTGTAGAAAYGTGTGCAAACTGATGGGAAAGAGCATTAACAGTGTCTCTCGGTAGCCCACTGYCTACACTTGCAGTCTGCACTGCAAGTAGAATCGTCCTGCAGTATGTCCATGTCTGACATCATTCGGTATTTACATTAATGATGTAGATGACAGAATAKAAGTTTGTTAATTCTGTAGACACTACCACAGAAGATGAGTTTATTAAATCTGCAGACACTACTACTAAGCTTGAGTAGGCTGCAAATCTGCTTGAAACTACAGTTTTGAAGCTTTTGGAGTTCTAAGAAAGACAAAAGATACTGTGATGTATAAAAAGAAGACAACTGAAGTGCTGTGTCCAGTTCTGGGCATGATATTTTCAGAAAGAAATGAGTCAACTGGAGAGAGTCCAGAGAGTAACAATGAAACTATCAGAGCTCAGTAAGACAATCAGAGGTTTATAATTACCAATGAAAAGTTGAAATAAAAGGGAAAAYGCTAAAGCTTTCAAATACATAATGGCAGGTATAAAAACAAGGTTCTATAAGTCCACTATAAKTAGGCCAAAAATAATCATTATGACAAAATTTAGGATTCCATCAAAATGGATTCCTAGGTGATGTTGGAATATTTATCTCTTTACATTTTAAAGAATAATTTTGACAGCCATCTGTCAGAAACAACATCTACAATTGAGCTGATCTACTTTCTGAAGGTTTCCTCCACCCACACTTTCCAATGGCTTTCCACTGAGGCAAAGTTTCCATTTTTTAAAAAGAATTTCCATAGACAATCAGGAGAGTTTCATGAAGTTGGTCTACTGTTGGCTACATTTACTGAATGAGCAAATGAAATGAGGTGCAAAAAAAAGAAAGTATCCACAGAATCCTTGTTTTTCAACCAAACTAACCAATCAAAATACAAGGTTACTTAATCACTGTACACAGAATTCTGTTTATTAACAAAYTTACTTTGTAGCCTTTGATCGAGGTGATCAAGAGACTGGAAGATCCTTAGTTCTTCTATTGAAAGTGCACTTATGCCTAGGCACTGAGCCTTGTTAGGAAGCAAGGGTTGTTTGGCTGGTTGTGCACTTTCCATAGCTGCCAGGATTTCATCTTCTGCACACGATGTACCAGATAGGTCCTCTGCCATGAGAAACTGAGCAGTGCTCTCTGAAACTAAAGAGATTGCAGGAGGAACTTTTTAAATGAGAAGAGCTCATAGCATTTAAATATACTGCTTGCTTTTATGACTATATGTCTGCAAAGCACACAAAATTCACATTAAAGGAACAAAGAGGTGGCAAAGTCAAGAAGCACCGTACATAAGTAAGTGGCATAATTAAGATCACTTGTGCATCTGGGAATGTGGATCCACAGCAAGTTCTACCAGCCTTACAAATGGCAGTAACCAACACCTGTCCATATTGCTATAATATAAGTAAATACAAAGAGGAAAGGATTGAAACTTAACTCTATTTTATAATGCTTTTAGAAAGCCATCATATCTTGACGTACACTGTATATCATACACTTTTATGAAAAAACCCCAGGTCTACACAACAAACTACACTTTCTTAGAAACATTAATGACAAAAGAAAAGGGATGTTACATAGCAGGTGTAGTAGCGCTATACTTGATCTATACAAAGAACTCAAGTGTTACTATACCTTCAGCAGATTCATAGGCGTCCTTCATATTTTGTATTGGCTCAAATGCAGATTGAACAGGATCCAGCTGGACAGAATATATTCTATTAAAATACTATAGGAATATTTTAAATATAAATGAAGATAGCTGTAATACTTTCTGAATATTTTTATTATTTCTTATTACTAAATGTAATATTTTGAAGTGCAAAAAAAATGAGCATACACTAATAGAGTGTTTGTGTTCTAGTTGTTTTTATTACCTTCCYTAGTAGTGACAGAAAGCTGACTAAACATCAGAATTGTGTGGCATAAAATAAATCTTTGATATTCCTGAAACTCTTTCCAAGTAGGGGATTAATCATCTTTGTTTAGATAGTTATCTCATATTTACCTCCGTATAATGAGTGGATCTCCATCTTCTAGAAGCTACAGTTTGTCTCCTTTTTTTCAAGAAAGCTCTGTGTTTATTTTCACAGCTGTCAAAAACCTGATTTTGTCTTGTAACAGGAACAATACCTTAAATAAGATGCAGACAAAAGTAAGCCCAAAGTGTCTCACATGATAAAGGTACTAGTAACAAAACTGGTAATGTCAGGTAAATTCTTCTGTCCAAATTTAGATGTTTACCTTGTATATGTTTACTTGTGATCTCTCTGAAAAAAATAATATCTGAGGTTAATCTATTGATAGGCACCCACACATTTAATTTAAGTAGCATGCAAAATGAGCCTTAGCCTCCTGTGCCCATGAAAAGACTCACTGGGAAGTTTAAAACAAAAATTTAGCATGTAATAGTAAGGCAAGAGATCCCGAGCAGCCTAATCCCTGCTTAACTGTCAGCATGTAAAATAGTCCCATGTTTGTCACAGAACACAAAAACGTTCATATTTGTAAATGTYAAACACATTTTTAAAGCATTTAAGCAGCATCAAAAAAACTTTAAATAATTCTAAAATCCAGCTACAGAGAATAATACCTGCCAGCCAGGAAAGAAATATTATTGAACCCTGGAACCTCATTTAAAGGAAGACCCTCATTACACAACAATTTTATTTACTAATTTTGTTTTGAYTTATTCTTCTTTTAGCATACATTTGGCCACACATTGCAACAGGTCCCATTTTTCCACAGTTTCTTCACAGGCCTTACTGAACYCTGTAATATTGCTGCAGCACAGAGCAGTACATGCACTCCAGAGGACCAGTGCAGTCTTTGGTCATTCTGAACGCTTCMGGACAAAACCTGTGGTGCTCTCTGTGCATGTACAGGCAATAGAACAAATCATAGCAAGTCATTAAGCGTTATCTAGAGTATTTAACATAAAAAAGTTTTATGAAACCCAATACACCTAAGCAGATAATGAAAAAGAGCCATGCAAATTATAAAAGRAGGTTAATTATCTCCTCTATAAGAATTTGAGCTACCTAATACTTGAAGTTGCAGTGAAGACAGTATGTGCAATGTGCACATGCCCAAATTTGGACCAATAAGTTTCCTCTGTCACTGAGCTGATGTCCAAGTGAGGACATAAACTGGCAAGTATCTCTGCTGGAGGCATCAGTCATGGCAACACAAGGCTCCCATTAATTTATTTCCTTGTAAAATCGAATAGACAAACTCAAATAACACACACCTAAATTCATCTTTGTAATTTTAAACTAGAATTGATAACCAGATTAAATTTTGTATTCTTCCTCCTTAAGAGGACCTCCTTTAGGGCAAGAATATTCAAATAACTCTGTTTCCAATGGAACTATTGTTAATCACTCAGTAGCTAAATACCTATCTACTGCAGGTAAAACGAGGAACCCAGCTTTTAAGCTACAGAAATTAATCATCTTGCTAGAAAATCTCCTGGAGCTGCCTAAGTGATCCCCAGGGTGATCACGGTAGGTTCAGATGTGTGGGATGCTGCTCGCACACGAAGCAGGATTCAGTTTCAGGAGCTCTGCCCCCAGCTGCAGCCTCCAGCAGGAAGCAAAGGAGCTGACAACTGCRCAGTCTAAATCACAAGCACAAGGAAGTCCCCTCCGCCTGAAGGCAGAGATGAGGCGAGGCAGCAGAGGAGAAACAGGGCAAATCAAGAAGTTTGGAATATAGCTTGAAGCTTAAGAAACAAGAGATTAAGGTTTATTCTCCTGAACTTTCTGAGAGATCTCTCCTTTATCTTGGCAATACAGTATGGATCCTAAAATTTATTTCAATTCTTGAAATATCAAACTGGTAGGGACTTCTTTTAACACTGAAGTTAAATTTATAGGTTTTTTGATAAATAACTATATTAATGAGACTAACTCCTAAAAATTTTAGACATTTACAGTGTCAAAATTTAAAACCAYATTAGATGTACATTTCTTCACTCTCAGGTGGCAGTGAATGTCAGACAGCAAGCTACAACTCCCAGTTACCTGGTAAAACTTGCTCATATAAACTTATTCTCTTCCTCTTATATCGTTATTGAACCATCTGTCAAATCCACTCTTGGCTGATATGAGGACAGAGAAAATACCTTGTTCTCATTAATAMTGTATAGAGTTTATAAAAATGGGAATCAATGTTTGATGGGGCTCTGGGACCACTAGAATACGAGTGGTAACGGCAGGTTAAATGCTGTCCATATTGGTGCACTGTGGTGAAGAGAGTGCTGAATGTTTTCACTGAAAACACGTTATTTTGAAAGATTTAGTTCTGGACATCCCAACACCCAAGCCCAGGACATAATGACCCTTACCAGTAGCACACTGTTTCTGAGCACCAGGCTCTCCTTGCCCTGAGGTACTTTTTTTTGCAGCTGTTGGGATACGCTCTCGATATAATCCATTTACTGCTTTAACAGGTCTTCTTTTAGTGTAGGTTACTGCAGAACAGTTTCCACAGGCATTTGCCTGAACACTATTTACAGAACAAATATTTTTAGTCAAAGGTTTGTATTTAGACTTGCTACAGCAAGGTGTAGATAAAATCACAGTGGCCAAGTCGGAAGTGCAAGTATAACTGTTACTATTTTCTGCAGTGTTTGTATTTAAAACCCCATCTTCTAACAAAACATGGCTTTCATTTAAGTGGTTGCAGTTAATATTGGTAGTTTGAAGATTTGAAGAATGCAGTGGTTGACACACAGGCCTGGCTGCAGCGTTGCCAGTTCTCTTTCCTGGCATAGGTGCAGATGGTGGGTGAGGTGCTAAAATTTTCTCTTGAGCTTTCAAAATTTTGTTGGCTTTAGTAGCAGACTGTGGATGGACTACAGTGCCTGTTCTATTCTGGGGCATAAAACTTGGCCGGGCTMTTGCTTGACTAGTTATATTTGCCTTATTTTTGTGTTGACTCCCTTTGTGAATTTTAGAATTGCTAATACTTATTGGGGAGTTAATTTCTTCGCCTTTTGATACCATCCAAGCTTGCTTAGCAAAATGGGATCCAGTAGACATGAAAGTATTCAGAGGTACACATGCTTTGTCTGATTCTCTAGCATTAACACTTGGTCTTGGTATCTGAGAATATTCCYGGTGTTTTTTTGTGCCCAGTGAAGTAGGAGCAGCAATACTTAATGTAGTCTTAGGAGCATTACTTGTAGTTTGAACACACTGCATCTGTGCAGAACATATTTCACTGGTGGTCTCTTCACTACATTTTTCTTTATTTTCTACTGTTACCTGGTGAGTTTGATCAAACTGTAAGTTCTGATTATTTTTTTCATTTTCTGCATTCTTCTTTTTTCCTTTTGCCAGTTCCAAACTGTCTCGGAGAGAAGACACAGGCTGAGTTCCAAAACGCATCCTGAAGTCCATATCTAGGGCTTTGAAAGGACTATGTTCATATTTAGATTCTTTCTTTAAGATACTTTTGAATAACCCCACTTCCTTCCTCTCAGGAATATTATTTTTTGGGCTTTTGTGCTGTGCAGGAATGTCAGAATTGAAATCTGTATCAGACAACAGAGATATAGTTTCAATTATATTTCCCTTCTCTTCTTTATTCTTTGCTTGCTTAACTCTGCACGGAGTAGAAGCATTTTGTATGTCTTGAAAAACAGATGATYCTGGATTAACATTAATACATTTCATATTTCCTTCTTTTGTTTCTGTCATTTTGCCCAATGTATTATTTAAAAAAAAAGTGCTTATGGTTTTTTCCTTTTGTGAACTATTAGCTGAGCAAGAAGTGCTGGGAATGTCATTGGAACATCTCTGATTAGGAAACAAGATTACAGATGTTGCAAGAGGTTGACAGGAGGTTTGTACAGACACGTTTTTTCTCTGAGGGGTCATTTCAGAACTTTGATTTTGTATCAAATTCTGAYCTCTTTCCCCTGAAATAGCCCAGGCTTTGCCAGGTTTGAATACAGGATTATCAGTGGATAATGTGCTTAGCAATCTAGAAGACAGATTGTTTTTTCCTTTTATATTTGTCAGAAAAGTAAATGAATTATTTACAGGTCCTTCTTGCATATCAGAAGTAGAGAGCTCTGTGGGTTGCTGTTCAGACCTGCAAGAAAGAAGTGACTCCTCTTGTGTGCTGTTTATATGTTCAGCAAGAGTTAGAACAGTATGTTTAGCTGAAGGGTCAAGAATAGGTAARTTGTTCTGGTTGTTTTGGGATTCTATATTTCTCAGACAATTATTTAGATGTCTATTTTTAGAAGAAGCATTTTCAGCTGTATAAAGTAAACTGCTATTTCTGGTCTGTGATTTTTCTGGATTACACAGGGTACAGTCACACTGTGTAGCCAAAGATGATTCACTCGATGTTACATAATTTCCATTCTGATCTCCAGCTTCAAGACTGTCGAGGCTTAACAGGCTTTCAGAACTGGCTACTTTTTTGACTTCTTGATGAAAATTCTGCAATACAGACATGAAACAAGATTGTTAAATTTATCATAAATGTTTTTCACTGAGTAGCAGTTCATTAATGAGAGCTTAGGCTAAAGATGTGGCAGGGGAACAGATTTCAACGAATGTGCTCTACTATTCATGAAAATTAATCCTAAATCTTACATTATTTCTRCAATAACACAGAGGAACAAGGTTTGGGGAGTCCTAAAAGCACTGTTGTTTCTGAGTTGCTCTGTGACACAGGAGAGTTCTTGTACTCTAATGTGAAAGGGATTTTACTGAATGAAGGAGAATCTATGAAAACATAAGTATGATATTGCCGCAAACTGGAATTTTTCTATAGCATTATACTGAACATGCATCTTAATAAAAAAATTGCATAAGTGATTAGTATTTACACCTTTTCATGACAAACATGGAAAATACCTCTCAGCTCTCATAATTAGAATACCTTTTTATTGTTCAGGAAGAACAACCACCGTATCACAGAATCATGGAATGTGCACGGGGCACAGGGTGGCATCCAGGAGGGTTTGGAGACCTCCAGAGAAGGAGACTCCACAGCCTCCCTGGGCAGCCTTTTCCAGGGCTCTGTCACCCTCACAGCAAAGAAGTTCCTCCTCAAATGGAGATGGAGCTGCCTGTTTCAACTTACACCCATTGTCCCTTGTCCTGTCACTGGGCACCACTGAGAAGAGCTTGGCCCCTTCCTCCCTACATTCCCCCTTCATGTACTTATACATGTTAATCAGATCCCCTCTCAGCCTTCTCTTCTGCAAGCTAAACAGGCCCAACTCGCTCAGTCTCTCCTCATACGAGAGATGTTCCAGTCCCTTAATCATCTTGGTTGCTCTCTGCTAGACCCTCTCTAGAAGCTCCACATCCCTATTTTCCTGGGGAACCAGAACTGCACCCAATACTCCAGGGACAACCTCACCAGASCTGAGTAGAGGGTCAGGATCCCTCTTGACCTGCTGCCAACACTCCTCCTGATGCAGCCAGGATCTCATTGGCCACGAGGGCACAGCTGCCTCATGGACTATAAAGCTGTATCAGTTCTAAAGGTACCCAAGAAGTCCCAGGTTCTTTGTGCAGCTTGTATGCTCTGATGATTGAGGAGGTAGGGCACCATCTGAAGCAACAATGGGTTTCTCTAAGCGTGTATGTACTATCCAGACATTTTCATTACTAATACTTCACTGCCCAGATACTGAGGTGCCCAACATGGTTGCGAACTGCACACTCTTAAAATGCAAGATTTGAAAATAAAGATAAAACATCCAGGAAATCTTGCCTTTTCTCTCTCTCTCCCTCTCTACTGAATTTACTTCCATACAAAAGAGCAGCTAAGCGATTTTAAGATGAGTGTTAGAGAACATTCTGGTAGAAAACATAAGACAAGATGGACTGGGTAGATAAAGCAAATATGTTCTTCTTGTTTTTTTTCCTTTTGCTTATTTTTTGGGGGGGAGATTAGTTACTTTAAATGGGAAAAGATTCATTAAGCCAGCTAAGTGATTATATATCCTTAGGCAATTACAATAACAGAATTACATTTTTGGAAACTTACTGAACAAGGTGTAAGATTAAGTAATAACAGCATTTTTTCTCAGTAACATTGGTTCCAATAACACTGCTATACTGTAATATTGCACACGTTATTGCTGTACAAATATTTAAAATTACAGAATAAAACACTAAGCACTGAAAGGCTTTTTATGATTAAATTAAATACTACAATGCTCAGATGTGAGTACAGACTTCTCTTACAGTTATGATCTGATATAAAGAAAATAAATACAAGAACAAAGGACCAAGTGTAGGCAAAGATCCCTTTGGGGAACATTTTCAAATGAAGGCTGCACAAACTGGTGTCTTTCTAATAGAAAAGAATAAATAATGCTTTGTTAGTTATTTATTAACCTTTATATTTTGCTAAATTGTATTGTTAACCTCTGCTTGAACCTGGCGAAAGAAAGGGCATATATTTTCTATATCAGGCCAAATTTAAGAACTAACTCTGAAATTACCAGATGGCAAAAAAGGAGTAACAAAGAGTCATGGGCGTTAAGTCTTACTTCTTGTCAGAACTGGACACGGTACTTGCTTGGATTCAGCATGTGTTTCTAAAATGGACGGGTTAAATAGAGGAAACTTTTTTCTTTTTTTTTTGAAAATAAACTATTACATTAATTTAAAAAACTGGTCTATAGCAGGTTAGTTTGAGCAGGTAAATCTGAAGGATGKGAGGAAAGCTGCAACTTTTAAAAACAAAAGCAGTTCTACCTGGTTTTGCTGCAGGCTGACAATAGGACTTGGTTCTTCATTACATGTAACTCCATTCTTTTTGTAAAAATAAAAGCTAAGGGGAACTAAATATTTCAGCTGATGCCACCTCCAGAAAATAAGTCAGGAACTATAATAACGAAGGATTATTGATTTGTATCTATTGTTATTATGATTTAATTCTCTGTTTAACCCTCTAAAGAAGCTGTGAAGGCCTAGGACTATTATAGAAAAGCCTATTCCTGCAAGCTCTGCTTACTGCAGCTACCAACAGCACTGTTCTTTCCAAGCCAGCTCCTACGTGTTGGCTCTTAGGACCCCTGTTCCACAAGGCAGTGGCTCCCACAGACTAGGGAAGGCATTAAGCCCCAGAAGCTGCATTCATAATGATAATTCTTAAAGCATTCAATGTTGCAGCCTTGAACAACAAAACTTGCAAGTCACTTTGATTGTGTCTACCCTGTGAATCAATGAATTTTCTTAAAGCAGGCACCATCTACTCTGCAAATTTAAGAGATGAGGTCAGAAAAAAATAGAATGGGACTGCATAATCAAAAACTTACATACGGCAAAAAGATAGAGGAAAATTAAGCAGATGTATGCAATATTAATTCTAGAGCTCCTTAATTTTTAAATTATAAATAATAATTTAAATGTCATCTGTAAAATGCAATGATAAAATTTAATTAGAAATTTGACAGTTATTTACTAATCTCTTGCCATTTTGGTTATTCTAGAGTGGAGGAAGAGAGATCAGAAAAAAAATCCATTTATATTTCCTTGAAATTATAGACCATAGGAGGAAGACAAGGAAATTATGTTTTAAAAATATTTTGTAAATAGATCTATTTCCTGACAATAATTCAGAGATAAAAATCAAAAGGGTGTAATTCTCAGAGATTTTCTCTTTTTTAAGGAAAAGAAATAACCTTTCTCCCAGAAATGGCTAAGGTCTTAATAGGGAGACTTAAAGCTTGGAAATGATCCTTTTGGGGAAAACTTACAAGAGTACGATTTTTTCTTTTAATAATGTAAATATATCACAAAGGCAGCAGAGTTGTTCAAATGATGCCACTCTATCTTGAGCACTACAGAGCATCCACAAAGGGAGAAAGTGCTTGACTGGTTTTGTTGTTTTGTCATGTATGTGGTATGAAAAACAATCCTTATAGCCCCAAGAAAAGGTTTATTAATGTATCAATCTATCCTGAAACAAGTTCCTTGGTACTCAAAATGCTGTTTCAGCTTCACTCCTACATTATCATCTGTTAAAACTGGGTGCTGAATTGAGGCAAGATGCTCTTCAAATAACTGAACATCCACATTGTCAGATTCTGATATGAAGTTTGTAATGTCATCTTAATGTCATCCATACTCTGGAGGTCTTCAAAACCCGCCTGGATGCCACCCTGTGCCACATGCTCTAGGTGTGCCTGCTTGAGCAGGAAGGTTGGACTAGATGATCTGTAGAGGTCCCTTCCAACCTTAAATATTCTGTGAATCTGTGAATCTTCCATAGCACAGGCTTAGAAATAAACTTAAATAACACTACTATGAAGAATATATAACAAAAATAATTTAGTGTGAAGATATTTTTTAATGTGAATTGTGACCTTTACAGCAAATGTGAAGTTGCTTCAATATAGTTTGGATTGGTGAAATAACCTGGAAGACACTGGTATGTTGCAATACTGGATGAGAGACAATAATAACCTGGAGACCAATATCTTTCGAAGAGGATAAGGAGCAGGAAAATCACTTGGGTTTGTCACATGAGTCAAGCGACCACCACAGGATATTTTAATATTCACAGCTAAAAGTCAAAGCCGGCCGGCACTTTCTGATTTAAGGTGATTTAAACTATTCCTTTGAATGGTACTTTTCAAAATCAAATTTGACTTCAATTAAAATCCCATTTTGAATTAACCCTCCAAAGCCTCCATTTAAGGATCTGCTTTCCCACTAAGTAGCCCTGGACATTCTACAATTCGTTGAGATTTGGGGAAAGATTCTGTATCTGGGGCACTCATTTTTCATGTTAGTCTTGTCTGTATCCTTGAAGGGTTAGAATGTTACAATATACACTGCAGAAATAACTCATTCAAACAATAATACAAATACACTTGAAAATTAATTTTTTTTTATCATTTATGTAAAATGGTTCAATTTCATAGACAATGTTTGACCTTGAAAGTACAGTAACACAAACAGCTAAGAGTCATATAGACTTACTAATTTGTGCAACAAAGCTGTGCCTATACCTATGTGCTTGCAGCAACTGCCACTTTAAGTGTTTGTCATTTAAAAATACACATATTATTTCTCAGCAACTTATTCCAAATATGAAACATATATAAACGCACGGAGTATAATAACCATGTAATAACAACCACAGTAGTATAAGAGGATACAAATTTTTATTGTTTCGGAGAGAATATAAAAAGAACCCTCTGGCCTCATAGTTTGGGCTGCAATTTCAGAGAAGTTATTCTGTGTTCCAGCCCTCCTTTACAAATACTGAAATATTTTATGCCAAGTGGGACAGCATTCATGGAAAGACCAGTTCTGAGTACRTGAATGGCTGCAGAAGATGCCTGAGAAAAGGAAAGTCAAGTTTGAATTCCTGCTTCAAATCTTTCAAAGAAGGGGTTTCAATTCAGATTTCACAGATCCCATTTGAAAGCCCACTTATGGTTTTATAAAAGAAGAGAAAAATATTATAAACTATATGTATTTTCCCTCACAGATTAGGTCTTTCTTCCAAACATTTTGTTCAAAAAGCAAAAAAATTGAGATAAAAATATTAAGGCAATCAACAACCTAATTCAACCATAATTTATTTTGCTGGAAGAGCATAAAACACTGGACTGACCCCATTCTTTTTTTCTCTGCCCCCAAAATTAAAGAGGTGATGAAAAGGAAAAGACTATGTATAATATTATTCCTTGACAAAGTTGAGCCACTTCTAGGAAATTTTCTAAATTATTTAGTGCAATGAAGGTGGCAGAAAAAGCAAATTTCAAGCTAAATAGCTAACATTTGGGAAAATGAGTAATTCAAAATAAATCATTCGGTGAAAAATAKTTCAGTTACCGATAGTGCTATCAGCTCCACCTTAGAGATTTTATTTATGACTACAATAAATTTAGAAAAGGACTGTAGGAAAACATTTACTTCCAACTAAGTTGGCAATATAAGAAAATGAAGTTAACAATATAAGATCTTCAAAATGAAGCATATTTACGGAGGGATAACAAATGATGATTTGATGCATAATTATATTTGGTTTGATGGCCTAAACATAACTGTTCAGTTATGTTTATTTTAACTACAATAAATTTGGAAAATGGTATAAGTGTCACTAAAAGTCTTGACTTACTGCTGAAGCTTCACAAATCTTTAGGGCTGGAAAGCAAGGAACACAGCTAATCTAGCAGTAAGAGTCTACATAGAATATTATTGCCCTGTAGGAAAGAAAAGAATTCTAGGAATCTTTATAATCCTGTTGGGCCTGTAAAAACAGAATCAAAGAGAGGTCAGTTAAAGGATCTCACTGGGTTGTTAGACTGCGAAGCATGTGCACAGAGAAATATTTTGACATTAGTTTTGGAAAGACAAGTGCTGCTGAGATTCCTTTGGACAACAGAGAGTTACAGAGCTATTGAAGCCCATTTATGTTAGTAATGTTAGTAAGTTTATTCTGCTGCTTCACGTCACTGAAAGTCACAAAGCATACACACACCAGCACAATCCAAGTATTAAACTTTGAAATTCAAACCTCAGAATGATGACAACAGCTTTCCTGACAATAGTTTTTCTAATTGGAGTCCAAAGCATGTAATTTGAAGAAATCAACCCCAAATGTTTCAAGTGTAAATATTTATAAATTAAAATAATTTATCGGAGGGAAGAWGCGGAGCAACCCCTAGTGGTTGCAGAAAAATAAATCTAAGGAAAAAAAAGGGCAAACAAATATTTACAGAAAACAAAACACTTTCAAAACTTCACCATGCCAAACACTATAGTAACTAAATGTACAATTTGGTATTAAAAAAAAAGTTCTTTTTATACATATATATATCTTTTTTTTTTTCTTTGCTTGAAAGCAGCTACTTTATTCAGTTTTACAAGCATCAGCTTGTCTTGTCTGAGTGGACAGAAGGAAAAGGGAACTCTTCCTTCTTTTAGGCTTGGAAATAAGAATGAACATAAACTGACAACCTTGCCAGAGCAAACTGCACTCTCAGTCTCCTGAATCTTACTGAAATTTGCTCAAACAGAATGAGATTTTCTCTATTACTGAGAATTCTGAAATCCTCACAAATAACTAGTTGAACAAAGTAGGTAAAAAGACAGAGATAAATATATCTGATGCTATCAATATCAAAGAACTCAAAATATGATTTGTTACTGAATATATTCCTCCAAAATTTATCTGTGCAGATATATGGAGAGTCAAAGTTTTTGCTCTTTTGTTACTAGCAMTCCCATAGCTCTACATCTCACTGATGTAAATGGATGATGTTTCATTGTGCCAAGGTCATTTCAGACACCAACAGCTCAGCGGGACAATATTCTAGAAATATGAGAGTAAGTCTAAAATTATGGGGTTTTTTTGCATAATTTTTTTTTTTGCATAATATGATGTTTATGATATTTCCAATATCAAAAACAACACTGATTAACTTAAAGTCTCACCATCAAAAGTAAAAAAAATCACCTAGGAGCTCTGTTCTGGATTTTCACCGAGTTTCTGATATAAATTTTGAAACTGATTTGGAAGTCTGCTTACACTCAAAGTAAAGTAAGTTTACTTAGACCCAAAGGTTGCTTACACCCAGAGTAAAGTTAGTGGAATACTTATATCTATTCCAAAGATGTACAAAGATGTTCAAACTACACTATATTTTGTGCTGCCTTGTAGCAACCAGTGAAACAGAAACTTAAGTGTCAACTACATGTAGCCAATATAAGGTTGGAGCTAACACAAGACTCCTGTGATAGACCTAATGGCCAGCTACTTTTTAGCCAGGACACGTGAAGTTTAGGTTTACAGAAAGCCAACATGACAAGTATCTTTGTGGAATTTTGCAATTCTATATGCTGAAAATGTCCCTATAATTTTAAAGAATTCTGATTTCTGTTTGAAATATTTTAATAAACTTACTCAAAATGATTTCTTGGTAAGRCACAGGCAATGTGCCCAATGTGCCCCAATGTGTGAGATACTAAATGGCAAAATGTGTCTAACAGACATTTCATTTGATTGTGCTCAAGAAACTTACTATTACATTTAAGAATTGTCAGGAATTGTATACTAGTATCATACCTCCAAGTTGCTGAGATGCTGTTTTTCAAGGAGTTGTTGCATTTCTTTCAGATTTTCCTGGATGAGAAGCTGGTTACAATCCATGTTTGTTCTACTGCTCTCCTGACTTATTTCATCACAGTCAACCATTGCTGAAATCTGCTTCTGATGGAAATAACCATTTCCAGATGCTGATGAGGATGAAGTGTCATCTGTGGTTCTTGATGCAAGGGAGTAAGTTATTACTTGACTTACTTCTATGCATCAGCCATACATTTTCAAATATGTTCTTTTCAAAAACTATACAGCATCAATAAATGCCTGGCAACTGAACAATGACTGAACAGTATGTAACTACAGGTGAGGCTATTAGTACTGTCTAAAGTTAAAACTCTATAACACTTCCCATTTTAAACCTTCTTTTCCATTATTTATAGGTTGTCAGGACTTTTCTGGTTGTGTTGTTGGGTGACTGCCTTGAGCTGAATTATTCTGGAAAATGTCAGCCAACAGTTGGGTCACTTTCATGGAGGACTTCTTTAAACAAGGAAAATGGCCTTTATCTTTCCGTAACGTTGGCTTATATAGAGCATGACTGTACTCTGTTGCTCTCAGATATTCCCTTCAGATGGCAAGACGCTTTGTTTTACCTGAAGACCCCAATCCTATTGATGACCTCTGGTGTCAGCAATGTGGAACAATAAAGAATCTATATTTGCTATCAGAAAAAGAAGTCCTAGGAGCATCTGTTGCAGCTGTGTACTGCTGTCAGAGTAAGCCAAAATCAAAACTGAAAATCAAACCACTGACTTCTACAGGCTGAGAGTCAGCATGAACCAYGAGGCTGGTGGACACCCAAAAATTAAAGCCAGGAAGCACGTCCAGTCAAATGACAACAAAATGCACAATCAGAGGCTGAGAAAACAGGGAATCTGTAACAAGATATGGTCAAGAATAAACAGTAGACAGAGGTGGAACAAAACTGGATTAGATCATTAGGAATAGGAACCAAGGTTTGGAAAGCAAGAGGCAAGAAATAGGTATACAGGATGACAAAAGGAAGGAGCAAATTGCTTGGATCGGGGAAGCAGGGAAAAAAGAAAAGACAATACATCACATTGTCTAATCAAGCCTTAGTTTCTTGGAAGCATAACTATTACAGGTTGCTGGCTCTAAAGCTTGACAGCTTAGACAGAATACTTTAAGAGCTGACACTGATTCTGCCTTTTGGCTTTGAGCTGGTTCAATGTCCTTAAATGCACATAGTCAAATATATCCTAACCAGGACTTACAGAAATCCCTCATTAGATCCATGATTTTGATTCTGATAGCTGTTGAAACTGATTACGATCCCTACTGATTACAAAGTCAAGATCATGCAGGATAAAGTATTCATTGTAAGAGATTATCTGTATAAACTTCTAGTGAAGTTATGTGTAAACTTGGTGTACATTTACCAGAGAGAGGAGAGGCAGACTTTATTTTGCCAAACTGGTGAAATCCAAGATTTGAAATGGTATCTGGCTTCAGCAAGCCTGGAACTAACCACACTTTACTGTCTATTCAATAAGCAGAGGCTTTCTAATGCGGTCCYGGGATTGCAGAAACATTATGTTTGGAAAAGAYCTTCAAGATCATTAAGTCCAACTGGAAAACTCTCACCATCCTTCCTGCTAAACCTTGTCCCTACTTGCCTCATCTACACATTTCTTCAGTGTGCCAGAGACGGTGACTCCACCACTTCCCCGGGCAGTCTGTTCCAATGTCTGACTACTCTTTCCATATAGAAATTCTTCCTAATGTCTAACCTGAATCTACCCTGGTGCAACTTCAGGACATTTCCTCTTGTCATATTGGTTTTGAATAAGTTGAAAGTATCTCAGAAAAAATARTTTGGGTAGAATGGAAAGAATGGAATCAAAATTTTATGTGGTATAAAATGAAATTATAGGTGAAATTGGGATTAGGAAATAAATGGGTTTTCAGATTCTTATAGGGAATGAGAAATTGAACAGATGGAAAGAAAACAGAATCATGGGACGAGTATACAAGTTCCRATATCCTTGAATGTCAAAAGGAAAAAAAAATGTATGAGAAGCAGTAGATTATCTAGATAAAATACTTCGTATTTCATGGAACTACAGACAGTTTGATAACTATGCCAACTTGAGTCAAGCCTTAACTGAACGGGACAGAGTTTGTTCCTGTCTATTCCCAGGCCTCCACTGAAGTCCTGAAAGGAATGGTGTGCGGCAGCTCCTTTGCTGCTTTGCCTAATGGACCCAAACAGTTTGAGGATGTCTCATAATATTTTAATTGGAGCAGTTCACAGAAGCACTTTCTTTGCCACCACAGAGATTGCTTACTGCCTCTAAGACAGCTTATACTTGCTGTTTATTGCCTACACTAAGCAATTTACTTTTGATCACCAGAGTAAACAGAAAGGCTTACCTGARGTTGGCTTTGTTTCTGTTAGACAAGCAAAATTCTTGTGTTAAAATGGACCCTTTAATCTGGTCAAGAGCTTCTTCTAATTGAAGAACCACTTTTGTTTGAACTAGAGAGAAAAGATGAAAAAGGATTTTTTAATTTTGTTCTTAATTTTTAATTTTCATAAATGTTCTGATTAAAATTCTTGCATTTAGAATCATAAATCTAGATTAAATCRAATAAATAGCTTCAGAAATGCTGAATGATCTCTGTTCGCTCTAAAATGCCATTATATTTAAGTGCTTACAGTAACACAAGGATTCCAAAATGTAGATATTTGTTTTCCGACCACTTTATTGAAAAAGCAGACACTTAGAAACACAACACCAACTGTGTTTTTACATCATGAATATTATGCTCATATAATAAGCCAAAATTATGGCTTGCAGGTATTTTACAGAGGCCAAAATGTGACTTAATAATTCAATCAGTGGAGAAAAAAGGAGTCTTTCTGCCTGTCTAGAGAAAAGCAGCAGTTCTTTCTCTAATAAGGAAAGGTAGGGTAGAAAGTAGCAGAATTTCTGTAAAGTAAAAACGTAAAAAAAAGTGATATATTACTAAATAGTCTGGGATGTTATTAGAACTATGAAGAAGACCTGAAGTAGGACCATTCCGTTTTGTTTTTTTAATCTGACATTTGATCTTCAAGTCAGAGACATTACCTCACARCTGGCGCAACTGCAGCTGGGAGAGTAAATCTGTTAAAGAGTACCTAAGTAATGTACCATATCTTAAGAGCTTCAGCACTGGAAAGTTGACTGGAAATCAGACTTGGCTGAAGCTGTTAAAAACTCCTGCTAGTCTGCACTGACTCCAGCTAAGAAGGCAGGAACTGAGCTGAAGTGATCGTTACRTCCCAGCAGGATAGAGTAGCTTATGAAGCTGACTAATTCAGCAAAAATTATGTAATACATTAATATAGTCTAAGACTGCTTTTACTTGATGATAAACAAAATTCTTGAATGTTTCATATTCAGGGGTTCAAATGGGGGATTATTAAAATATCCTAGTAACTGTTCAATGGCCTTATAACACCTTATGCACAGCTGTGAAAGCACAGCATTAAAAGCAATAAGCACACTGCAATGAAGAAACAGGAGAGGAGAGGAGTAAAAAAGAAAAGGAAGTTGCAAGAGCCCTGGGAGCTGCTTATATACTGTGATTGGAATATAAGGAAACATCACATAATATAMATACTTCTGCTCTAAGCAGTTCAGTTTTTTAATTCCCTCTTTTATTTTTTATTCCCTCTTTAGTTTTGTTATTCCCCCAACCCAAGATCATTGTAAATATCAGATCTGAAATTCTTGTCAATTATGTTTGGCTAATGAATTCAATTGATTTGAGTGAAGTTAATTGCTCCATTTTGTCTCCTTTATATTTTGTTGACAAACACACAAATGCATGCATCACAAATAATCGTGAAATTTGAATTTACAAACCTATTTTCTTGTGCTGAGAAAAAGGGACATTAGCACGCTGGTATTTTTCAGTTGCTTCTTGAAGTTTAACTTTCCTTTGCTGCAGAACTTGCTCTCTAAGTCTCTGCTCTTTTTCATTTTCTTGCTTCCATCTTTCTTCAAGGGCTCTGTATTTAAAAAGCAAATGTAGATGTCACCCGTGTTTTCTAATTACACTAACAGGAATATATTTAATTTATTTGCATATGATCTTGTTATTTGAGTATAAAAGCTTGCTCCTCTACAAATAACATGTTGTAAACTTCCACATAGCTGGATTTTTAGGATTTGTCTGAAACTAAACAAGACAGCATGACTCGCCATAATCATTTTATTTCCTTAGCTTTAACTGGAGATTTGAGTCCTTAATTAAGAAGTAGCTTCAACTACCACATTCTTTACATTACCATGAATATTTGTCACAGTGGACAAATGAACAGGAAGATGAAGAGCAAAGGCTGTATGTGCTTTTCAGGAGCTGGAGAGGAAGAAGTAACAGCTTAAAGTTGTTACTGAGAAATAATGCAAAGAAATGAGACTTCTGCTGTAAAAGTTACTATCAGCTTCCAATTGTTGAGAAATTTGCTGAGAGATACTGGATTAGTAGCACAAAATGRAATAAATGAAATAAACAGTAACTTGAAGCTACCTTTCATGGTGGAATCAGATCACATTCAAAATCTAATACCAATGGCAGCGTATTTTGAAAATATGTCCTTCTGCTGGCTGGAAAGCAAGTTGGGCTCTGTCTAAAACAACCACCGTCACCAAAGCTTTGCTTCTGTAGACAAATCCTTGTGGAAGTAACGTGGAATTTCTATTCCAGCTGACAAAAGAATTAAATTTTTGCTGACAAAATTTAACTACATTCTTGAGTGAAATATACCCTTCATCAGTAAAACAGTACAGTGCCTATGTCAGGGAAATAACACTTAAATACGTAACTGCAAGCTGAAGTTTTAAAGAGTCTGCAGTGCAAGGATCACAGCAACTGGAATCTTTCTGGGTTTGAAGCTCTCTGTGAGTGAGAAATGTTATTGGACTGGGTGCTGGAACATGAAGCAGGATCCCACTCCAAGCCAAGATCAGCGGCGAGGTAGTAGAAATTTTTAGCTGGAGGCCCCCTTTCTTTTTCCCTCATCACAGTAAAACTTTTCCATATTTTTAACAACTTTTAGTTGCTTTGCGAAAGCTTGTTGCTTAATGGAGCATAGCTGCTACTCAGGAGTGCTAGGCCACAAATCTGGCTATTTTATTTACTCTTTTCAGGGAAAAAGTTCACACTGAACTATTCAGCTGTACCTCCCTAGCCCTCTTGCAAAGTGCTGATAACCTGTAGAAACAAACAAAAYTAATTTGAAATAGGTACCTTTTATTCTTGAAAGTCGAAAAGCTGTAGCTACACAATAATAAAAAATAGTGAATGAACTAACTGTAATTCCCAAATACACTTCTATGTATAGATCACCTTTAATCCTCTTGGAAGYCAAAGTATAACAGATATAGAATTAAATTTCCACTATTTCAAAAATTCATATATGCATGGTTATCAGAACTTACAGCAAAATTAATTTCCAATTTTACGGACAAATTATTGTGTTTTATCAATAGGCAATATTTATTAAAAAGACAAAACAGTGAAAATGCACTATAAGAAAATTTTATGCAGCTACTCAAATCTCACATTACAAAGCCTGCACATCTGCAGTTCTGGTATGGACATGACTGTAGCAGTTTAGAAAATCACCATAAAACTTCTCTCCATACTGTAAGACAGACTGTAAGRCTGGAGCTGTGCTCTATAACACATCCTTCTCTCCCCTGGACAGCCACTAGGACATATCCCTCCATGCAGGGAACTTTTCATACCTCCCATGAAGTTAATCTCAAGACAGACGAGAAGAATATGAAAAATAAAAGCAGGAAGAGGCACAAAATTGCAAAACTATACACCACTTTTCTTAATGCATACAGCACTCTGGACCAGCATTCTCCAAGGTCAGAAGCTGAGAGGTCAGTGAACAACACAAGAAATTACTACTTCTACCTGGAACAATAATTTCCCCTTTCACAAGGTTCAAGTCTCCCATGCAACAATATCCTTTAACGTATTCAGGCTGTACCTTACATTTTATTTTAACAATCTATTTATTGCAAATGTTACTTAATAAGCTCCAGGTTAGTTACCTGGAGGCTAAGACAGAAGATAACAAAGATTCAAGCAAAGAGCAAAGCTACAAAAAGTCCAACTTAAAGCACAAAGCACTTCCGATTTCTATTCGAGTTTCTGTTTCATCACCTTTTCTCCAGTCCCTCTTAAGCAGCAGCAGCAAAGAGGGAGGAAAAAGAGGAGAAATAGCAACATCAGCTATCTCGAGGTGCCTGAATTTTAAGTCTTGTCCTTACACAGTATAAGCAAAAAGACAGGTGGTGTAATTCACTGTTGGAGGGGTCTCAACTAGGACCTTGCTCAGAATTGCCAAAAAGCTAATATTTCAGCAATGCTGCAAGAGCTTGTTTTTGACTTTTATCATGCAAATGTGCTAAAAATCATGTTTTGCTGTACCATGTAAATACTGCTGAGTCATATAGARCAATATACAACACACAATTGTTTAAAAACATTTATGACATAAAAATGGTATACTGAAATTACAATATACCAACAATATAATACAGGAAAAAGTAAAAGGAAAAAATGGACACACTGTGTGTTATGTTTCTTCACTATTTTCATTATGTATCATAGCAATATAGTCTAATTCACAAAACATTATCCAAATAATGCACATTTCATTTGCAAATTTCTGTTTGTTAGTAAATAAAACTGTTTTTTCTTGAGGGACAAGGTGAAGACRGAGAAGCAGTTATCCAACTACAGAAAGAATTTGTAGGGAAATACATCCACATGAAATATCTTCTTACAATTCAGTCAAAATCTCACAAGAACATTAACTATTACTAGTTAGTTACTTAAGTTTCACAAATGGAGCTAAAGTTAATTAACAACTTTTAGTATAACAGTATTTTGCTCAAGGTAAAATCTGCTATAAAAATCTATGATATTTAACAATTTCATCCTGATTGAAAGTATAGGAAAATAACAACAGAGAAAACAGATTTGCTCATCCTGGAAAGTATTTTAAAAGCATTCTTTTCCATTCCTCGGATCTTTTAAGCAGCAGCTCAAGAAGGACTTTACTTGAACTACAGTTGTTAAATTCAGGCATGTGGGAAAATCTACAACTTTTACCTGGAGCAATTCCAAAGAATAACACCAAAAAGGAAAGATTAAATTCTGACAGAGTCTTTTTACTATTTATTTTTCAAAACAGTTTTGGAGTGTGGAGTAGAGTATACCCTTTTCCACATTCCAAATAACTGGAATATAAAAAGACTCTTGTTCCGTATAGCTGGAAATGGGTAAGCCCAAATGCTGATGCAAGAGGTCTTTCTCACCACAGCTCATCATGATCTCTGTTTGGTTTGGATTAAGACAAGACGGGGGATAAAGCACCTTATTTTAAATGTAGGGAAAGGCATTAAAGACGTTCAATGAAGCCTGCATCATTAGCTTCTTGACCTCACAGAATGTAAATTGCAACACTCAGGTGCACTATGTAAAATAAATAATTCTACAAATGCACAATGGCACTTTATAGAAAAACAGTTAAATCAAATGTTAGTTTATCCACTCTCCTTGAAACCTCGGCTAGTGTTCACAGCTATAATATTGGCAAAAATATAGACTTAAAGATGGGGAGTTAGCAGAAGTATTTCCTGACTGGTGTTTTTTTAACCTAGTTTTTCTGTCTACTATAAACAATCCAGCAGAGCTGCAATTTTGCAATTGCTGCCAAAATGTTTATAGAAAATTTGGAATATGAAACTTAAAAGATTCAGCAGTTTCACATGTGCATTCATTATGTGGAAGGCATTCCTATGTTAAAAACAGTAGATTAACCAGATGGTAGAACTATTTCCTGGTTAATTTTATTAAATTATCTCCAAGGTGAAGTGGTGGGTGCTAAATTCTCAAGTGGACTAACCGCTTATTACTACTTGGATACAAATAATAAAAAAAGAAGATATACAGTGCATATAGAATGCCAAGAAACAAACCTTCTGATACTGATATCAGTAAAAGATATCTTTATCATAAAGATAAAACTATCTATCATCATAACATCTGCAAACTCATACACAGTATTTTTAAATTTGATACAAAAAGATGTTTTTATACTTACTGAATACAACAAGATCAAAAAAAGGGCATAAGGTGGAGTTACACTCTTAATTTTTCTTATGGGTAAAGAGTAACTAGATCTTGCATCCTTAAAAAGGTCTGCTTAGCTTGCCCATAAGTCAACTTACTTTAAGTGAGGTATTTGCCAAGGCCATAGGAAGATATATTAACTACATGGATGGTTTTCTCCTATTACTTTACGCTAAATACAAAAGGTCTACCTTGCAAAATACGTTCAGGGCTCACAGTGACTATCTACCAAAAGGCTGTAAAGGTTCACAGAAGGACTGCCCATGTTTTCCACTMAATTCTTTATGCTGAGAGTTTTTTATTGGGAAAAAAAGGAATCACACATATTTAATGTGAATGTGCGCACATATGTGCACATGTATGCAAAAATATATATACGTATAGCCAAATATTTATTGCTTAATATTTCAATTCTTCTCAGTCATTATAAATCTGGGTTTGTCACATAAAAAGGGAAAAAAACACATTTAGAATGCTTTTAAACAGAAAAAAAAAATCAATACTAGAAATAACTCAGCTGAAGTTACACACACGCTTAGTTGCTACCTCTGCTCCTCTTGGTAGTTTCCTTTGCGTGTTACAGGAAGGTGTCAGCATCTGGATTCCTGGCTGGGAGGAGTATGATGTCCATGGTGATGGTTTCTTCCTCACCCAGGGACCCACCAGGAGTCACACTAACACATTTGCCAACACTATTTTACACCTTCATTCTTTCTTCATTGGTCTGCAGCTCCACACGACGCTGTAATTTACAGTGACACATGGTACCTTTCAGGTGTATTAGACACTATTCTTTGTTCTCTTTGGTGTCCCTAAACCAAATCCTGTCCAGTTCCAGGTCTGCATTTCTTTAACTGCCYGCTGGAAGGCTGTTTATTGCTGTGTGGTCCCCAGGGCCCATCTGTGCCCCATCTCCTATCTCCCCTGCCCTACTCCTCTCTGCAGCGCCCTGCACATCCACTCTGAGCGCTCCACTCTCCTCCCAGGCCGGGTCTCTCCAAGGACGAGGGGTAAACGCCACATTCAGTGCCTAATGCCACGCAGCAGTAACTGGCCGTTACTTTACCCCTGTCTGCACAAAACTAYGGTTGTACCACACATATATAAACACAGCAAAACGAATTCGCCGCAGACACCTGGTCAATCAGAGAATCTCTGTCAGGCCCAAGGCAAGTAAAGCAGAGCTGCGGGCAGGCTGGGCAAGGCTCAGACTGGGCGAGCAGGAGCAGGCTGAGCCCTGCGGCCCTGCAGGCCCCGCGCAGCCCCACGCCACTCCCGGTGCCTCATGAGGCTCATTCCAGCACAGAAAACAGCACTACGCTCTTATCCATTTACCCCTTCTGATGCTAAGCCGCCGCCTTCCACTTCCGACTCTAGACAGCTTTTCATGCTGTATTGACAACACTGATAAATTATTTATAGTGCTTTTATTAAATAATCAATGATAAACAGCCAGCAGGTGGAGCACAAAGCTTGTGCATATGTTGAAAATAAAGGGTTTTTTTTTTTCAAAAGTGCCAGTAATGTAAATAGATTAAAACCTAATATAGTTAACTGGGAAAATGTTTCCTTTAGTTTAAGTATTTGGAATTCAAGGCAATTCAGTATATTGACCCAAGCCAGCTAGCTGTTAAGGTTTACTTAAAAACTCATATAGACAATTGCAGTAATTCCATTTATGGAACCAAGTATCTACCTGAAACCTGTAACATCACAGTACAGCAGGAATCATGTTTGGTGTTGAGCAATGACACTGGAAGGGCTACAGCTCCCAACAAATCCACAGATGGTGTTTCAACGGTACTGCGATACAAGCTGCCGTGATACAGCAGCTCGTTCAGTCATATCAAGTATGTGCCTAGTCAGTACCTCTTATTTCTGGAATACTGTTATTTAAACAAAATATTTTTCTCTGAGATGCCACTTTAGAACATACTAATTTTTAAGCTAACCATGCAAATGATTAGGGAGGCAATGAAGGAAGTGACTTAACTGATATTCAGGCAATTTGTTTAAAGACATAATCAGCAAATCTTGTTCACCACAGTTAAGTACTGTTGTCAAAAGCAAGGAGTTGGGTCAGTATGGGAAATGAAAAGAGGTTGGTTCATGATATCAGACAGCATATGAAAATGGTTTCTTTAAGCATTCATTTGGGAAAGATCTTTAACGTAAGTYAGTACAGCTTTGCTTTCCAAAGCTATACCTGTTCTTTGGTGTGCAAATGTTTTTGTCTTGTACTTAAAAGCTAATAAGCTGACTGCATTTCATCAGAGGATGAGTAATTTTAATTCTGAAATTGCTCTATTTTAGAGGTATTGAGAACAGATTGATGTATTATTGCCTGGGAAAACCTCATTACAAGGGTGTTCAGAAAAGGCTGAAAACAAGATTTCAGCTTTGCAAGCTCACTATATATGGAATTCTCATTAGCTTAAAACGTGCTGGCCAGTAAGGGATTGGTATCAAGCTTGACTTGGATCAAGCTTGGCATGTAACTTCTGTTTAAAGGTGAATACTTTTTCAAAAAGTGACAGGAAAAAAAGTCAAAACCACAACATATACAAGCTTTCCTCCACAATGCAGGATGAACCTAAATAAYAGACTGAGAGCATCTTGGAAGCCATGTTCCAGCTTCCCTAGACCTATTTACTATTAGAAAGCTCATTACTATTATTTTTCATCGAGGATTTTTCTAAATTTAATGTTACATGTGTAAATCAGAATCATACTTTGCAGTGACTGTCTGCTCCACAATATGGGGGAAAAAATATTCAAACTTGAAGTTAAAATACAACAGTGCCAAACATAGCTTCTGATATATGCCCATAAGCCCTGTCAGGGGCAATTAAAGATACAGCCAGATGCATATGTAACCTGTGAAAGTATGGAAACCCTTAGGAAATTATCATCACTGCTGACAACTTTACATGTTTATTCTTGAAAAAAAGAAGAATCTTGGCTCCTGCACAGTTGTGAGGCATGACTTGATGGCTGATCCAGTAGCAGATCAATCACTTCATATCTACATAACTGTCAAGAAGAAATATTCGGTTTCAATCAACTTTTTATTTCCAAATTACTTCCTTCTATATGTGCAGTGAACCTTAATTTTGATTTTTATTTCACAGCTTATTAGCACTATATGCACTTACTATATTCCTAATTTTAGACAACTCACTTTCAGTTATTAAGGAAGGTCTTGTCAACACTCACTTCATGTAAACTGTTTATTATGTCTGTAGTAATATGCCTGTAGTTACATTACAATGCCATTCTTAATTATCACAAATGGATAATATTTCATTTTATCATTACCATACCTAAAATTTTAACTGGCTTACCTGCATAACTTTGATTTATACTATGTTTCCTATGGCCACAATGAAATTCCTATGGAAATGTATTTATATATCCAAAATGTATTTATATATTTGTAAACATTAGCTTGATTATACTAGCCCAGCAAAAATATGCAGCCTGYCTAGTGTTTGCTTTTACATCAGAGTGTACTATTTCACGACCAGTAATATGACAAACAGCATCCATCTCAGATCACGGTGTTACAATGGCACCATTCCAGAAAACTAAGAAAGACATTTTATCTCAAAGCTGAGACTCAGTTTATTATTATCTGCAAAAGTTGCAGCTCACATGCTCTCCTTAATCATTCTCAGGTGATTATACTTCCTCTTCCACTTTTCTTCATATTTTAAAACATTTGCTGACAGCACCTTTTATCAAGCTCTTGACAAGCTAAAAAGGCGGTATAAACAATGTCTATTGCTTCTGAGTTACCAATATATTTCAATTGTAAACAATGTATAACAGAAATCGCATGACGGGGGAGCGTGTGTATATATATGTGTGTGTGTGTGTATTGCTTTATATTTTTTATATATATATATAAAATATAAATATATATTTTAATATTTAATATATATTATATATTTATAAAATATAAATATATATATATAAATATATATATATATTTTATATATATATATATATAAAATAGTGACTTTATTCTAAGTACGTTTTGGTACTAGAAAGCCCTAGTTTTGAGTTCTTTGGGAAACAGGCATACATGGGCTTGCAAAGGCAAGTCACACTATCAGAAGCTCATACATTTCAGTAGACAACAGTAACTGGACTGCCTGCCCACTTACTGCTGTGGCATATGTGAATTGTTACACATCCATTAAAAACAATAAAAAAAAAAAAAAAAGAACAAAATACTAGAAATGCAGGTCAGAGCCATGAAATGAATGCACTACTTACCTTAACGCTGAACAGCAAAAGCTTTCACTTTTTTTTTAAATCTTTTTTACTTTTTACCTTTTTAACCTTTATSCTAAACAGTAAATATCAAGGAGTTTGCAAGACGTAATGAACAACTCTGAATACTGTGCTTTTTATATATTCCATCATAAAACGGTAGATCACTGCAACTTTAATACACAGATTCTTATGACACAAAGCAGTGGTGCTATTTAATGAACTACTTGAGCACAGAAAAGGTAGAAACATATTGAACTGTCTCAAAGTTTTGACTCTTTTCTGTGCAGTGTCCCACCAAAGGAACCTTAATTACTTACCTCCTTCTTCTGTTTGTCTCTGTAAAATATTTTTGTGCTCTTCTCCGATGTATTTTTTGATCTTCTTTCAGTGCCTGACGTTCCTCTTCTAGATCCCATTCAAACTGAAAGGTTAAAGCTCTGTCCCTAGTATTGTGTTAAGGACAATGAAAACTATCAAATATCTCAGAAGAAGGTATAATATGATGGAGGATTTGTTACACACCTCTTTGGGGAAGGGCAGACTTTTTCATGCAGTATCAGGTACTGCTACTATGCTTTTCGCCTAATTACACAACAGTTGGTCCCATAAATAGACATTATAGTAAAACTTAACTTTCTGATCATCCGGAAAAAAAAATGCATCTTATTATTTACAGTGGCTTTAACAAAGACCTGAGGTTTTGCATTCATCATTTATGATGTTAGCAGATGAAATCTCACCTTTATCATGTTTATTGGAAGACACATCTTCCTGCTGTCACCCACACCTGTGACACACAGGCACATTCACCACGGGGACAGTACGTCCAAGCACGGATCCCTGCCCAGGTCTAAAGCGTTAGCCGAAACGCACCAGTCTCCCCAGACAAAGCAGCGCTCCGCACCCGCGCACAGGCCCTCGTAAGGATACGCGGGGGCGCCGCGGGGCGCCGCCGAGTCCCGGCGAGGGCCGTTTCGGGCCTGGCCGCCGGGCTCCGTTCGGGGCCGGTCGGGGCCGCCCCGCGCCGCCCGCCCCGCCGCCATGTCGGGAGCCGGCGACGCCGCTGCCCTCGCAACGGGGGCAGCACCGCCCATGGCGGGGACGGCCGCGCTGAGGCGGGGCTGGAGGCGCCGCGGGGCCGTTTGACCCGAACCGACGGGTTATGACGCCTGGAAACGGCGTCGCGAGTCTCGCTGTGTGCTCTGCAAAAATGGCAGGATTATTATTATATATCTTTATTTTAAAAATAAATAACTATCGTAATTAACACGTCCTTGAGCAGTTTTGCAGACAACGGAGAGTCCTTCCTGGCCCCGTTGCCATCTGTGGGTTTTCAGGGCTCTGTGGGCGCAATTTAAATCCTTTAAGGCTGCTACTTGCAATTAACATCATTAAAAGAATACCAATAAAAGAATACCATATGTGTATGAAAAGTTCTTAAAATTTACACAAAGTAAAAAAAAAATTTTTTTTTCCTGAGTGAAAAACTTTTTTTTTTTTTTTTTTTTTTTTTTGTGTCAGGCAGAGCAGGGTGTGTTGTCCTGGGATATTGCCATGCCTGTGCTGAGCTGTCAGCACCCGGCTAAGTACCCCGGTGATTTCCTGGCGAGATGTTTCTTGGCTGTTGTGTTTGAGTTTAAGCTAATTCTTATCTCAGTGAGCAGCTGTTSAGCATCTTTGGGTGGATAAAAATGCTATGCAACATTTGCAAAGTGCTTTTATCACAGCCCCCAAGAAGCATTTGTAACGTGCTGCCTGTGAGGGAGGCGTTGCTACCACCTTCTTCCAGACAAGACCACTGAGGCTCATGTTATGAAACATGCTTAATATTTATAACCTCCCACTTTCATAGCTGAGAAGAAAACCCTGCAATGGAGGTTTATTGTCTCTAGTCCAGAATACCAGTCCCAAACTCTTTTCTCCATCCAACCTCCATTCAGTTTATAGTTTCACAGGTAGAAAAGTAGTTGCTGCCTTTGTTCCTCTAGGTGGTACTTTTAATGTTCTTCTCAGCCTACATAATTTTAAATTCCACTGCCTCATTTAGGACACAGTAAAGGCTTTACGGGTACCATAACCTGATCCACCCAAGCAGGATTGTAGTAGAGTATCTTCTGAGATAGATTTGGACTTGATTACAAATCTCAAGGGCTGAAGCATAGCTAGGGTGCTGCAGAAACACATTTTCCTTCCTTTTTGTTCCAGAGGAGATGAATCTGCTGTAGCTCTTTACCTCAGATCCTTGTTTCACAGATTCACAGAATATTTAAGGTTGGAAGGGACCTCTACAGATCATCTAGTCCAACCTTCCTGCTCAAGCAGGC